CCTGCAGCAGGCCCCGCCCCTTGGAGGAACTAGCCAATTGGGAGACATGAACACACAGTATTTTGACTCAGCGAGAGGAAGGGTTATGAGAGATTAAAGCTGTTTGTTCAGGTTACAAGAGGAGTCCAGAGGAAAACCTACTAGTAAGCTTGTTTACATTATAAATAAGCTGAAATCATGTTAATTGATCTCAAAACATAAGATTAGCTTTGGCTACAAGGTTAGGTAGGTAAGATTCCATTTGTCCAGAAATGTCATTCCCACAGTTCCTCCTTGTTTGTTTTATAAAAGCAGCACATTCATATTTATAACAGAAGCCATTCCCAGAAAAGTCATTTTCACAGAACTGACCTGGAAGCTTCCTCCCTGAGGACTAGCTCTCATAGTACTGGAAGGTGCTATATGATCTGCCAAAGAAGAAAAGCAATCAATCGTCCAATACAGCTGTAAAGTCTACAGACCACAATAATGGCCCCAGTAATATATCTCCAGTGGTACAATAGTGGCACTTTTATATTGTGGGTAACTAACAGATGCTTAGTTGGACTTAAGGCCCACTTAAGGGGGGAATTCATGCCTGGTTCTGTAAACCTAGCCAAATACCCATGGCAGAAGAGGTCATAGAGCCCAGAGGAAAACCTACTACTGTCATCTTTCTAAACCAATATAATTTCTAACTGTATCCTAAATACTTGTCTTTATAAGCTTATACCCTTCATCAAAGAAGCTTCTTTTTACAGCAGATGGAGACCATTACAGAGATCCACAACTGGTCCAAATGCAGAGAATAAGTGACAGTGGGGTACCCAATTCCAGTTGATACATCTACAACACAATCCCTAGACCTAAGACTCAGGGAACATAGCAGAAGCATGGGCAGAAAGATTCTAAGTCCCAGAGGACCAGGATGCTTGTTGCAAGACAGTGTCTTTTGGATGAGTGGAAAGCTGCACAAATGAAATCTCAACAATATAATTACCTAAACAAGACCTGCATAATGACATCAGTCAACATGCCAATGTGGATGGGGGAAATTGTGAAAAGCCTCAACCCTAGATAAAGAGCTATAGGCAATAAATGGGTGCTGAGAGAGGGAGAATCCATTTTCTCCCTCTGATGAGACCCCTGATAGGTTATCCAGTCCTAAGCACAGCCCTAAACATATGCATATATGAGCAGCACTAAATGGACTCAATAGGTTACAAACACACAGACACACACACACACACACACACAATAATGAATAAAGAGGTCATGAATTTGAGAGGGAGTGGCATGGAATGAGTTAGAGGGGGAAGTGGGGATGGGAATTATAGGAATACAGTAGTTATGTACATAATTCTCAAAAATTTAAATTTAAAAAGTAATGTTTACCATTAATAAGTGATTCGTTTTACAAAAACAAATAAGAAGCAATCACTTTCAATTAATTTTAAAGGCGATTGCCAAATATAACACACACAGGACTAATTACATATTTTGGGCAGTCATAAACATAAATACGTTAAGAACCAAACATCATACTTTTCCCCTTACATATTCTGCCTGCATGGAATTCTTCTACATGGTAAAAATGGGTCCCCTTATTCAGAAAAATCCACCTTGAGTCCTAAACCATTTCCTGAAAGCCTAATTCCTTTCAATAAGGCACTAAATCACTTTACTGCAAACACCAAATGCTTTCTTATTGTTGGGAATGGAATTACAGATTTACTTTTCCAAAATTCTACTGCAAACAAAATTATCCTTTGTAATATTTAATAATATTCCACCTAGTTTAGTGTTTTCCAGAATTTCTATCATTATAAGGGCCTCCTTTCACTGCTCTGGCTCCCAAGAAAAACTAATCTACTCTGATTTGCCTATCAGTGACCAAATAAAAATCAGTCTCTCTCAGCAGCAGTGATGGCCATGCCAATTTCAGTGTGATGGGTGCACTGATTTCATTTGTAAATGATCCTGCCCTCCATCCGTCCAAGCAGAATGTCCTGCTTTTTTTTTTTTTTTTTTTTCAAGTCAGAATTCTCGAATAAGGAGAAAGACATAGCATGGCCAGCCTCCTGCCCACTTCAGTTGCCATCCTTGCAGATAGGTACCAAGACAAAGAGGATAACCCCAGATGATCCTTGTAGGGATGCAAGAAATTTGGGGGATAGCAGATAGTTCTTTCAATTTTCATGTATTTTTAAGAAGTCATTTGAAGGTGAATGCGTTCATGATAGAAATAGAACTCTGCCGACAGGAAAACTAGACGAGAAGAGTAATTTCTTGCCTCCATGGGCTCTTATCTTTATTTAACAACAATTTACTCAAAGAAACAGCTATGTAAGAATTCTATAAAACATTGAGTCTTTTGGATATCATTTTGAAGGATCAAGGGCCACCCAGGCCAACATAAGGGAGAAGACCCTGTACTCCATAATTATTGAGCAGTACTATCCAGCACCCCTCACTCCATCTGAGTTCCTGGGTTGGAGACTAGAAAGGGCTACAACTAGAGGTTGAGCTGGAAGAAGTCTTGGCATACAGTAATAGCTGCCTTCCTCAGTAGGTTACTCTGGTGTGGTGGTCCAGAGCTATATTCAGTCCTTCAGATATGAGTGCAGTCTCTTCTTGGTAGTCATGCAAAACTGTCTTGTCCCTTTCTATACAGCAGAACAAAGCTATGACAAACTTCTCAGCAAAGCAGAATATATGAAAAATGATCTTCCTAATATAGTATTTAAATATCTACTGAAGTGTTTTTCCAGCTGTAACAAGTATCCCCTCAATAATTACTTCCTAACAACTGCTACAACTCCAGCCAGGACATTCAGATTTCTACTGTCTAAATCAGAATAGTTGGTTGTTTTAACCAGAAAAAAATTTTTAAAAAGCAAATTACTAATATTCCTGGCAAGTTGTTTAACTGCTCAATGCCACAGATTCTTCATCTGCAATACCCAGATTTCTGTGTCATTATGAAGATTAGTTTGTAAGAAGTCTAACAGAGTGCCATCAAAGATGGTTGGTGTTGGTTCCAAATGTACATATAGAAAAGATTTATGAGCAGCAATTCTATTGAGGAGGCAATCGCCTTGCACTGAAGTCCTTAATTACCAAAAAAAAAAAAAAAAAAAAAAAAAGACATGCCTTGACTTGGTCTGTTTGTCTTGGGTAAGAGCAAGGTCAATGGAGAGCAGGGAAGACTATAAAAGGCAACAGCTGTCCTAGGTGTCTGGTGGAGCACTTTAAATGACAATGCTCATAAATTATAGCACATATTAATACTTGAAAATCATACACTTTCTACCTCACTAGGATAAAAGTTTTACATTCTGCTATCTTATATACTTTATCTTCTATTTTCTAATACTTTAACATGCATTTATATTCCCACACTCAGGTTAGTCAACCTATGGATATGAATTGTATGAATGATCCAGCACAATTTTATAAGTCCTTAGTTTTTCACTGCCCAATCAAAGCATTATTAAAAAGAATTCATACAGAAATAATACAAACACAAAATCTCCAAATACATGGGGAAATAAAAGAAGAGTGATTTCTGACTAGAGATCTTCAAAGTAAGAATCTCAGTTTGAGGGAGGTTTGCAATGTGATTTTATTTTAAAGAAAAATCAAAATTTTAATCAGTTCAATAATAGATAGAAACATTAATATGAACCTGATAAGTAGACACTGATTATCTGTCTCTGGCAAACACACATCATAGAGTGTGTTTGGTAGAGTTAAGAATGTTAGAAAAGGGTGTTGGAGAGATGGCTCAATGGTTAAGAGCCCCAGTTACTCTTACAGAGGATCCAGGTTCGAGTCCCAGCACCCACATGATGGCTAACAACTGGCATTAACTCCAGTTCCAGGGAATCCAACACCCTCTTCTGATTTCCAAGGGCATTGCACGACACAGATGTACTTACATACATGCAGGCAATACACTCATACACATAAAATAAAATTTTTTAAAAATGTTACAAAGGGGGCTGGAGAGATGACTCAGTGGTTAAGAGCACTGGCTGCTCTTCCAGAGGCCCCGGGTTCAAGTCCCAGCACCCATAGGGTGGGTAACAACCAACTTTAACCCCCATAATCCTCTTCCAGAAGGTTGCACTTAAATATATACAGACAACACACATACACTTAAAATAAATACATAATTTTAAAAATAAAACGTTAGAAAAGTAATAACACACAGGAAAGGAGCAAGTGTTAGTTTTTGTTTTTTCCTTGCAGAAAGAAAAGACCAAGGCTAGGTCTACCTAGTAGTGAAGAAAAGGATGGTAGGTACGGCCAAGTTTAAACACCAATATACTCAATAATATTTTCCAATTATGGAAACGGGGGGGGGGGCAAGAGATACTTTGGTTTAAAACTGCCCCAATTAAGCTCTATACCCTGCTTTTTTCAGGTCAATTTCTCGAAACAACCAAAATACTGCTAGTGCTTGCATTAAACCGTTCTTAGAAAGTGTGCCTTCAAAGCAGCATAAGAGAATCTACTTTAATTCCAGAATTACAGAGATAATCCACCTTTCTCTCTCATTCCTATCGCTAAAACAACTCGAAACCACACAATGATTTCTCAGGTTTGAGGTCAGAAAATTCTCCTTTGCCTCTGGCAGGGACCCAAGGTGTTCCTGTAGCCTGAGCTGGCCTGGAACTCGCTATGTAGACCAGACTGGCCCCTGGCTGGCCTCCATCCTGGATTAGAGGTGTGCGCCACCAGCAACCCCACCCCTCTACAACTTTGTCTTTAACAAAGGAAAGGCTAGGATACACAGCCTCATTCCTGAAACTGCAACTCCCAGCATGCCGCGCGACCACCTCCCCAGAGCGTCAGAACAGGACAGGAGCATGCTGGGACTTGGAGTTTCCCCTGTAAACCGCCTAGAGCAGTTTCCTTTGCCGATCCAACTGCTGTTCCACAATCTGAAGTGTTTCACAGTAAACCAAAATTTGACATAATCGAACCAGTTGTTCGCTTTAATTCCGAACAGGTTATTTCAGCGGCAAAGCAGCCTGTGAGGATACTTCCGTTTCCGGTTGGCATATTGCCTTGGAAACAAGGATGCAGAGCAATCTGGGTGAATATGGTGGGGCTGTGCTGTGCGCTGATCCCCGACGGGGAGTTTACGGCCGTTGTGTATCGGCTCATCCGCGACTCCCGCTACTCCGAGGCGGTGCAGCTTCTGAGCGCAGAGCTGCAACGGAGCTCCAGGAGCCGCGCAGGCCTGTCGCTGCTGGCCTACTGCTACTACCGCCTGCAGGAGTTCGAGCTGGCTGCCGAGTGCTATGAGCAGCTCAGCCAGATGCACCCAGAGCTCGAGCAGTACCGCCTGTACCAGGCCCAGGCCCTGTACAAGGCCTGCCTCTATCCTGAGGCCACCCGGATCGCCTTCCTCCTGGACGGCCCCACGTACCAGAGCCAGGTCCTCCGCCTGCAAGCTGCTATCAAGTACAGTGAGGGTGACCTGCCAGGGGCCAGGAGCCTGGTGGAGCAGCTGCTGAGTGGGGAAGCTGGAGAAGACAGTGGAGGGGAGAACGACCCTGAGAGTCTGGTCAACATGGGTTGTCTGCTCTACAAGGAAGGACACTATGAAGCTGCCTGCTCCAAGTTCTTAGCTGCCCTGCAGGCTTCTGGGTACCAGCCTGACCTTTCCTATAACTTGGCCCTGGCCTATTACAGCAGCCGGCAGTATGCCCCAGCTCTGAAACACATTGCTGACATTATTGAGCGGGGCATCCGTCAGCATCCAGAGCTGGGGGTGGGCATGACCACAGAAGGCATTGATGTTCGCAGCGTTGGCAACACTTTTGTCCTTCACCAGACTGCTCTGGTGGAAGCCTTCAACCTCAAGGCAGCCATAGAGTACCAGTTGAGAAACTATGAGGCAGCTCAGGAAGCCCTCACTGACATGCCTCCCAGAGCAGAGGAAGAGTTGGACCCTGTGACCCTGCACAACCAGGCTCTAATGAACATGGATGCCAGGCCTACAGAGGGGTTTGAGAAGCTCCAGTTTCTGCTCCAGCAGAACCCCTTTCCCCCAGAGACCTTTGGCAACCTGTTGCTGCTCTACTGTAAGTATGAGTATTTTGACCTGGCAGCAGATGTCCTGGCAGAAAATGCCCACCTGACCTACAAGTTTCTCACACCTTATCTCTATGATTTCTTGGATGCTATGATCACTTGCCAGACAGCTCCTGAAGAGGCTTTCATTAAGCTCGATGGGCTGGCAGGAATGCTGACTGAGCAGCTCCGGAAACTAACCATACAAGTACAAGAAGCAAGACATAATAGAGATGATGAAGCTGCCAAAAAGGCAGTGAATGAATACGACGACGCCCTTGAGAAGTACATCCCTGTACTGATGGCCCAGGCAAAAATCTACTGGAACTCTGAAAATTATCCAATGGTGGAGAAGATCTTCCGCAAATCTGTGGAATTCTGTAATGACCAGGATGTGTGGAAGCTGAACGTGGCCCATGTTCTTTTCATGCAGGAAAACAAATACAAAGAAGCCATTGGTTTCTATGAGCCCATTGTCAAGAAGAATTATGATAACATCCTGAGCGTCAGTGCTGTTGTATTAGCCAACCTCTGTGTTTCCTACATTATGACAAGTCAGAATGAAGAAGCTGAGGAGCTGATGAGAAAGATTGAAAAGGAGGAAGAGCAGCTCTCCTATGATGAGCCAGATAAGAAAGTCTACCACCTTTGTATTGTGAATTTGGTGATAGGAACGCTTTATTGTGCCAAAGGAAATTATGACTTTGGCATCTCTCGAGTCATCAAAAGCTTGGAGCCTTACCATAAAAAGCTAGGAACTGATACATGGTATTATGCCAAGAGATGCTTCCTGTCTCTATTAGAAAACATGTCAAAGCATACAATCATGCTGCGTGACTGTGTTATTCAAGAATGTGTGCAGTTTCTAGAGCACTGTGAACTATATGGCAGAAACATTCCTGCTGTCATAGAACAGCCCCTGGAGGAAGAGAGGATGCACATCGGGAAGAATACAGTCACATACGAGTCCAGACAGTTGAAAGCTTTGATTTATGAGATTATTGGATGGAATATGTAATTATGGCTGACAGTGACTTTTATCATTTGTTATATAAATTTTTAGTTTTACCCATATTTAGCTTTTGTTACTCATGTTTGTTACATGTGGAACTTTGCACTCTTTAGCATTATAACAAAAATATTCGATAATACCTGCATGTTTAGATTCCCCACCAAATGAGATTATTGTGAGCACTTTGGCCCCAGAAGGTATCATGAAAATTTCAAAATTGAGGAAGGATTCTGTGTCGATTATGGTTCCTTTATCTTTTTAACTGTATCTTGGGCAGACTTTGCACAGGGATTGTATTATCCAGGGACCAGATATTAAGTTCAGAACTTAGTAATGGTGAATGTATAGGACCTCTAGTTTTTTAATAATCAATTCACACAACTCCCATGCTTTTTATAGAAAGTTTAGGATATTTTGGCAATGTTTTTAAATAGAGATCTATTACTTTGTCCAGACAAAATTCCTTAGTTTTAAGTGTTTTTACTAGTGTACAGGATTCAGTAGGAAATTTTGTTCACTTAAACTGTGACGCTACTGTGTAGAGAAAATAAATCATCATTACTTCCATTTGTTAATTCAAATTTACGAACAAGGTATATTGTTGTTGTTTTTCCTAATAACTTTGTTTTCATTTATTTCTTGCCATAACTGAAACCAGAAGTAACCTGAAAGCTCAGTTCCCAATTACTGCCTTTGGCTTTCCACTTTAGGATATACTGTAGTTTCCTTTAGTTTCTTGGGTACAGAAAATTTTACTTTATTCCTCCACCCCCAAACCTTTTCCCACACCTACACTGATGAAAAAGTCAGTTCTGAAAATTTATCTCATAGATTCTGCCTCCCTAGTGCTGGGACTAAAGGCATGTGCTACCACACCCGGCTGATGACAATTTTTAAAGATTTTATTTATTTTTATTTTATGTGTATGAGTGCTTTGCCTGCATGTGCATGCAATTCCCACTGAGGCCAGAAGAGGGCGTCGAATCCCCTGGGACTGGAGTTAAGGACAAGAGGCCATGTGAATGCTGAAAACTGAACCTGGGTCCTGTGGAAGAGCAACAAGTGCTCTAAACCTCTGAGCCATCTCTCCGGGCCTCAATGGCTTTAAAACATAAATATAAATAATGTATATGTGTGTGTGTTAACAGTTTAGCCACGTAACTAAATGTAGGTTCAGTGCAATTCTTCAGCAGAATGAACTCCTAGGTGCTCAAATTCCATTAGAAAAGAAAACTGGACTTACTGTGAAGTCTAATGGTTTTGAATTTAAGGCCATTTTGATCTTAATGATCGAGCTGCTATCATTTGCCAGTGAAAGCTTGAGCCCACACTGGAGGAGAATCAGTGTTAAATGACCACGTAAGTGCACCCCACAGCACACTCTGTGTCTCAGCAATATTCTTTAACAACTTCTGCATTTAAAGTGTTGCTGTGGTAGCTCTGTGCCCCTCTCAATTTCCATAGCCCCTTAAAAATGTGGAAAGTAAATGAACTGAAATCTTACTTTCAACAGTCACATTAACTTTTTCCCTATTTCCTTTTTAAAAAAGAAAAAAAAGTATGTTAACCACCTCAAAGCAAATGTTTTCCAGATTCCCCTTTGCAAGTAGTCCAGCCTTTATTTAGCCACAATTTATTTACCCAGGTGCCGTTTGTGGTTTGCATGTATGAGTGGTATAGACTTTCAGAACATAAAAAGCTTCTCAGAACAGCTTTTAACCCCTCGTTGCTGGGCAGTGGGGGGGTTCCTGTTAGTCAAGCATTTGGAAAATTCTGACTGCTCTACCACTGAGTAAAGGAATAAAGATCAATTGAGGCAATTGTCCCCTTCCTTACCCTGGCTCTCCAGAGAAACACATGCCAGATTCAGATGGCTGCTATGGACAGGAAATTGAGCTAGGAGTCTGAAGGAGCTTGGGAAGGGGGGCATTCTAACCCCCCTAAGTTCCTGACCATCTTTTACTTTTTGTATCTATGTTTTAAGAAGGTTTAAATAAAACATTTATCGTAAGTGCAAACATGCACATGCAATGGTACGTGTGTGGTCAGAGGACAACATGGGGGAATTGGTTCTCTCCTCCACCACAGAGATTGAACTTGGGTCATTGGGCTTGGCATTAAGTACCTTTACCAGCTAAGCCACCTTGCCGGTTTCAGCATATACATTTTTAAAGCTTAAAAAATATTTTATAAGCCAGGTGTGGTGGTGCACGCCTTTAATCCCAGCACTTGGGAGGCAGAGGCAGGTGGATCTTTGTGAGTTCAAGGCCAGCCTGGTCTACACAGTGAGTTCCAGGACAGCTGGGGCTACAAGGAGACCCTGTCTCAAAAAAAATTTTATATGTATGTGTGTGCTTTCAAGAGTTTCATGTGCACCACATGCATACAGGTGTCCAAGGAGACCAGAAGAGGGCATCAGATCCCCTGGCACTGGAATTACAGGCAGTTGTGAGCTTCCCAGTATGGGCGTTGGAAATCAAATCCGGGTCTTCTGCAAGAGCAGGCAGTGCTCTTAACCATTGAGCTTCAGCTCTACCTTACTGTTTCTTGATTCTAAAAGGTAATGATTTTGCAATGACAGGTCATCCCCTCATTATTTGATTGAAAGCTTCCATCCCTATGGCAAAAAAAAAAAAAAAAGCTATTATTTACATTCCTAGTACATATGTGGTAGTACTAAAATCACTTCTTTAACAGGGAGCCATTTCCCTGTATTTCTGAAGCTATCATGCTTTTAAAATTTCTCTATAATATCTGGTTTATTTTAAAATGTAAAACCCATATTCCATAATATTAGTCAGTTCTTGATACACATACAGAATTTGAGCATGTTAGCCGAATTTTAAGACAAAAGCTCTGGCTCTGGGACTCCTAAGAAACTAGGCTCAGCTATCCATCCCAGGACACCAACTGAACAGCCAGGAGTGGTGAAAGACAGAAAAAGTTTAATCAGCACAGTCATGCTGGAAAACCAGGTAAAGGGATTGGTGACTCCAGGTTCATCCTCACAGAACCAAGACTTGAAATTTTATTAAAAAGGAAACAAAGGAGGGGCTTGGAGCTTAACAAACAGCAGGTGATCTTGGTCCAACCAGCAGTCTCAAGGGTCATTTTCTCAGTTCTGATTCTTCATGTTCTGGAGATGCCACTGTCCTCACCTGCAGGGAGCAACTGGGTTGCTGTAAAATGATTACATCTCCAAGGTGCAACTTCACCATCATGGGGTTGGGGATCTCATTTGAGGTGATCTGATCTGAAAGGCTTGATATTGCTTGGGGTGTGCGGGGTGTCTCCAATCCTTGTAATAAACATGTTTATCAATCAGTCCTGTCATTCCTGAAATCCAAGGTAACTGTGGGATTAGAGTGACTCAGAAGGGAAAAGTTGGGAGACAAAAATAGAGCCAGAGAGGGATAAAACAGAGTTATGCCAATGAGTGGTACACTTCACTCGGACACAAGTAATTTTATCTATGAGTAAGAACATAATCTTTCTGTGCAGAACCATCAAGCATAGACCAGATACGACATGTTAAAGGATTTGGATTCCTCAAGACAGTTCCTTTTTGAATGTGGCCTTGGCTGTAGCACAGATGTGTGCATTAACACCATCTTTGAAGGTTGAATGTGCAGGGGCTAATTCAGACCATTCATCAAAGGCAGAGCAACAGGAACCGGGGGGACTGGTGTTGACAGAGTGGACCATCTGCAATGTACAACTACTGCACAGGAGATGACTCTTGTTCCTTAGGGGTGACACAGGTACATATACTGGGCTTAGAGCAGCACCTCAGATGGAATCCCTACAGAAATGTCAAAAGCTTGGGCCAGCATTAGAATAACTTGTTTGTAGAAGGCTATCAGCTGGATGTCCAAATACATAAAATTTGAAAAAAGTAAAGGTAAACTGACTTGGAGGGAAAGCTTTAAGAATAGCTGAGGCCAGTGCCCTATGTCTTCACCTGGGTGTCCCAGGGAGGAGGCAGTGGTGGAAGTCTGATTGCAGTAACAAACGCCTATCTATAGAACCCAACTTCAAGAGAATAATATTAGCATAGATTGGGCTAGAGAGATGCCTCAGTGATTAAGAGCACTGGCTGCTCTTTCAGAGGACCTGGGTTTAGTTCCCAGCACCCACATGACAGCTAACATCTGCCCTTAACTCGTTCCAGGGGACCCAACACCCACTTCTTTCTGGCCTCCACAAGCATTGCATGACATGGGTACAATTACATACATGCAGGTAAAATACTCATGTATGTAAAAATCTTTAAAAATTAAAAAATGTAAGGTGAAAGAGATCAGGGAAGACTCCCAACATTAACCTGGGGCGTCCCTACGCATGCACACACACTTGCAAACACATGTACTCCTATATACATGAACAGGCATACACTCATGCACATCACAAACATATGCCTAAAAAAATCATCCTCTAGGGAGATGTGGACAAAATGTCACTGTCATACTCAGAAAAAGCAACTTCGTTAAATTCAATTGCAGGATGAGCTGACTACTGACAGTGCACTTGAGAGTAATTAGAATAGCAGAAGCATTAGTACTACTCTGGAAGTCAAATGGGCACATGTAGAAAATATGAGCATGGTGAAGGGTCTAACAAATGGAAGGAGCAAAGACTGACTGGAGAAGATCTGGGGAAGCATCAGATCTACCTTTACACTTCCGAAGAGCAGCCCACATTAAGATTTTGGAGCAGGAAAAGGCTTTCAGAAAAAGCAGTAAATATCCATTTGGTTACAGCAAATACTCAGGAAAACTGGCTGTGGCTTGGAGACTAGGGAAGCAATTATATACAGATACAAAATGGAATGATTTCCAAGGTTCATTCAGTCTGAGCTTATGCTGGCCAGGTAGGAAATTGCTTTAAATAGCATAAGAGGTAAAACCTTAGCATGGCTAGCAATCACTGAAATGGGTCATGCCAGACAAAGTTCAACAGGTCTTACCTTCATGTCATGCCAGAGCCCAGATAGGTACAACCTTGCATTCAGTGTGTAGGCCAGCAGGGACAAAAATCATCATCTGTGTCAAGTCCTTTCCTGTCTCAGAGGTTACTCATACAAGATGTATCCCATTTGTTCTGGGTAGAGCGGGATGTTAGCAAAATTTAAATTAAATCACTACGAAATAAAAAGTTCTGTAAACGATGATTGGTTTGGGAAATGTTTATTTGTTCCCACCACATCTTAAAAAAAAAAAATTACACACGGGCATTTGCTTTTTAGAATGCAGTCTAGGAATAAACTAATAAAAGGAAATTCTGAACATACATGGAAAGCATGGCACATGGACTATGTGTGAGCCCTTGTGGGAAAGCATAGCTCAGTTTGAACTAATAAAGCTATGCTGAAATCTCTTAGGAATTGTACTTCCCATTAACATATCCACTCTTAGACTCTAAAGTATAAAGAGAAAAATTGTTTGGTATGCATTAGTTACAGCAGTATAATGGCTTACATACATTTTTTTTTTTTTTTAAATCCACATGTAGTTCCCAAAAGATCACTACAGTACTGGCAGGAACATGTTCTGCCACGGAGGAAGACTCAGGATAAGATATTATTCAAGTCAAGTTGTATCAGAGTCAAAAGATTTCACAGGCTTAGCAAAAGAGGACAAAACTTAATATAACTTACACATATTTCCCTTAAGATTTGTCATTGTTCCAGAACAGAAATAACCATTATTCAGAAGGCACCATCACACACAAAAAAGACACACACAACATTAAGGACAGAAACCTCGCTTCCAAGCTCTGCTCCTTAGGGAGCCGTATGAGCAAAGAGCCAATAGCATGTAGGCGGTGTCTCAAGCCTTGCCAAGTATGCCACATCTGCCAAGCCGCATCTTAGGGCTACAAGGCTGGAACAGCAGGAACGAAAATGTATGAATGGAAAGGAGATACAAATCCCACTTACTGATTAGATGCATGAGTCCAGACTCATCACACAATTAATTCAGTATGGTAGGTGACTCAAACCAACACTGTGGAAAGGATTAGCAAGGTTTCTATATAAAACTACCAAATTTTGACATGTTCTTGAAGAAGAGCTCTGAACTGCTAAACCATCTTTGTCTTTAGACTTACCTCTCATTTTAAATTGTTTCATGGACAAAAAGGAAAAATCCCAACAAGGCACTGTGAACTTTTAGGGGCTATTAAGTCACTTAAATACCTATTTATAGAAACTCTACCAATACAAGCATTTCAGGAGCTTGGTGGACAGTGAAAGCAATAAGAACATATTTCACAGGGTGCATGTGGCGTTGCTGAGAAACACTGCTAACAACTGTGCCTTGAAAACTGGTATGCGTGTGGCTTAGAAATCCATGCTGCATCTGTTTCTTTTTCTTTGTCCTTCCCCTCTCAAAGTGTAAATTCATAGTATCTGAAAAATATTTTATAAAATAATGTACTACTTATTCCTTTAAAAAATAATTATCCTTTGGGAACAACAACAAAAAATTTTTTTCGTGTTCACAGAATTAGATGCAATTCTGTGATGGTTCTTTGGCCTGGAGTGTGGTATAAATCTGTGTCTTCTCTTTGTTAAAGAACTGTACCTAGAAGAGCATGAAAATGCTATTTCCAACGCCTGGAAGGGAATGCTTCAGAATCAAAGAAGACCGAACACCTCCGAGGAGATTAATTTTGACTTAAAATAACTGGAGATTGATGCAACCTAGCTAATGATATATTCAGCTATAAATCCAAAGGGATTTAGTCATGGTCAGGCTGTCTTGATGACGAAACATTAGCAGACTTATAAAAAATTATTTTATACTTTCAAATCTGTGGAAATCTGAAGTGAAAAACTAAAGGTGAAAAACATGCGAACAGACAAAAACAGCTTCACACCTCCTTTGACTGAAAAAAATAATACCTAGGCCCATGTCCATTTTATTAATATGTTTCTATAATCTCTTGACATTATACAAGCAGTTTTTACAGTTAAGTTTCACACTGAAGACAAACACTATTTGGCTTGGAAATAGAATGCTGAGTAACTTAATATCCTTCATGTCAGACACATACTTCAACGGTTTAAGTAAACCTTTTATACCTTCTGATTTCAGCATCATTTCAGGAAGTGAAATTCATTAGTATGAATTAAGTGAATCTGTATGGCTCATATGTTCTGTATGAGTCATATCAGAACATAAGGCTCTAAGCCAAGCCAACCCTCCGTAACGGATAAGGGTTAAGGTAGATCACTCGGGGCTCTTCCATCTTAAACCAGCACTTGTTGCACTTTCAGCTTCTCCTGTCATGAGCTGAGCCCTAATTAAAATCAGTCACTAAAGATTAAGTGGGAACAAAAAAAATCTCTAAAAATTACCAAAGCTGTTCATCACTCTGTCTCAGCACTTTCTAGATACGTTTTCCAAGAGAGCATTCTGTAGCAGCATCATTGGCAAGGTATAAACCAATCCCAGTAAGTCGCTGTGTTCTAACATGACCCCAAACTCAACCCCATTGGAGGACCTGAGGTCTATACTTCACTTCAGGACTTCAGAGCTTCTCTGATCAGCTGCGGTTAGAAGCCCTTGGTACAAAAGAATGTGACAACAATCTCTGCAATTAACATGCAGAAAAGTGTCTTTAAATACGAAAGTTAGGCCTTACAATATTCTGAAGGGTAAAAGGATTGTTTGCAACCATTTGTATCTGATATAATATACACATTGACAGAAGCTTGTTTTTTATTGAGTCTTTGTTTTCCAAAATATATCAACATATATATGCATATTAGACAGCTTCCAGATTCATAAATAACCTTAGACCAACAGTTCTGTATATAAGCATTTCTAGTAACAAACTCCCATTCCTCAAAGAGCAAGGTTTAATCTATTCTGTGATAAAATGCTGGACACAAGAAACATGTGGCCTCCACAATTCTCAGTAAACTAAAAAGCTCAAGTAATTTAGTATAAGACTAAATTTACTTATGGGCCACTATAAATTGCACCATACATTAAGGCAACAGTTTCTCCAAGGGTCAATAAAGTCTATTCAGTTTAAGTCTTTAGTATTCAATGCCATTTCTCACTAGCAGCCAGTTTCCCTTCCCAATGAAACCCAGGTCCACTATGACATCATCAAATTTAAGCAAAGTATTACAAATATGACTAACTTAAGAAAGACAAGTCAGTGTTATCCACTATTGAATATCAAATAGACTACAGTTTTTAAGATGTTAAATAAACTAATTTATGAGTTAAGATGCCTCATATAAACAGTATTCTCCTGGGTTTAACTTTAAGAAGCCATTTTCAGATACTTGAGAATGTCAGAGGCATGGTTAAGTGCTTTATGCATATTCATGAACTCAGTCCTCCAGAGACACTAAGTCTATACTGAGGCACCTCCCAGAAGTGGGTGGGTAAAAGTAGGGGAAGGCTTCCTGATTTACAAAATCAGAGTGAAACAGTACTGACGAACAATCTTGTGTTTCAAAATGATCCCTGTAGAAATTATATCAACTACAAAATGTAGTCACCATTAAAAACCAAGATTGGGGAGCCCTGCATATATGGGAAAAGAAAAACAAGTTCACGTAGTATAGGGAATACCACAATTTCCATAAAGTTCATGTAGTATAGGGAATACCACAATTTCAGGTGTTACACTTACAGATTCCTAATATGAAGTATAGATTTCTGAGGCTATAGAAAGCCAAACATCTTGGAGAAAATGTTATAACAATCACATGCAAGGAAATGGATCTACTAATGAAACTGTTTATTAAAACAATTACTCAGAAATATGTACATACTTCCAAAGAGGTGTTAGAACCTTAGAAATGTCACATTTTGATCACCAATTAGAGAAATGACCTTCATGAAGAGATGCATTTTATAAAGTTGAGAATCTTACCATTCTAGAGGCAATTCCCTCAAGTGTCCAGTTATTTTAAACCATCAACGGCTTTAATCAAAGACTGCTGGAAATTTTATAATTAAAAAGAAATCAATCAAGAGAGGCAGCTTCCAGAAAAGAAATATTTTGTTAAACTAATAATTGTGATTTGTCTACAGAGTTTAATTTGTCAGTTTGAGGCCAATTTTGATAGTTAAAAAGTATAATTTTGAAGACTTAAAAATACCATTTTGTCAACTTTAAATTTTCACTTTTCTGGTTAAGGCTACTTCAAATATAAAAGGTATCAAACTGCCCCAACATACTTTGGAGCTGTTGCTACACAGACATATGGTGTGTCCTTTTAAAGGATCATCTGCATTTTGACTTACATTATCTGATTAAATATTAATTTTAAAAAATTATCAAAAGTTAGGTATTGCATTAAGAAAAGAATCCATGCCAAAATGTGAATCATAAACCTCAACAGACAGTGATTTAAAGCAATCATTACACTGATTTCAATATCCAGGTCTGAATGTAAAAATGTTTGCTAAATATGATAATGTTCTTTTAAATATTTACTTAAGAAGTAGAAGATCTCAAACTTGTGATTATGGTATATGCATTAGTACATTTTTTTTTTTTAATTTCGGTTAGACCAGTAATTCAAAAAAAGCATTAAACCATTATTAAGAACTAAACTGAAACTAGTTTTACATGAAAAGTTATCGTGCTATTTGTGGTTAATCTAAAAAAAAGATTTTTGTTATTGAAATTATTGAGGCTTTCAAATTCAAGAGCCAATTAATGACTGTTTCTTTAGCCAAATAATCCTCTGAACTGGAGACATTAGGTTCAGGAGTCTTCCTTCTGCTCTTTCTGCAGCTCCGCAACAAGTACATAACAGCAGAAACATTAGGACTCAATGACGGATAATGGCCTTCAAATCATGGTAAGCCTGCCCTTCACATGTAATAAGGTAGCTTTTCTTAAAAAACATGTTATGAATGATCTAGGATACAACAGGTTATCTCAGCGTTACAAACACAACTCATACCCCAATAGAAACAGAGACATGGAGAACAAAACCATGTCTATTTCCAGGATAATTTTTATACTGGTAATTTAAGTTTGTATAAGTGTGTACTTAGTTCAAACAAAACTGTAGACCAAGCACCGTGAACAGATGAAGGGATCCTTATAATAGGCTGTCTATATATGTATCGCCTCCTTCAATGGCCTACTTAAGAGTAAAATGTGCTCTTAAAAACATACAAATATCACTCTCCAGCAGTCTTTCCCCAGATATCTGCTTTACAGAAATGTGTTTTTAAAAAAAAAAGAGCAACAGATGATACCAAAATCTGTCTTTGTTCACCAAGAGGAAGCATCACTATAAAACAGCTGGCAGCATCTTCCTCTCAGATAACTAGCAGCCATGTGCTGCCTGACTAAAATTTGAAATGACACCTACCAATGAGACCCAAGGAATACCATCTGTCAAATCTACAGATACACAAAGTACAGAATGAAAACAAACTTATTTTAAACCAACACACAGTCCATGATATAATCTATTACTGGTGTAACCATAGTTGAAGACTTTAAAAAAGTAACATTTTTCATAATGATATTAATGGATTTATAAAAGATTTCTGTTTCCAAAGATGTTACTGGGGTCCACATATTCCTTGACAGACTTCAGCATCCCAAGGCCAACATCAGAGATACTTTCCTTTAGCCACTGCTTTCGTAACTTGCCCACTGGAAAACAAAAATCAAAAATGCTTCAACATACACTATGATGCTGGGAACCAATCAATCTTGTGACCACAAGTGAGCAAACACTGTGTGATAAATGCTTTTATTCAAAAATGAGAAATGTTTTGCTTTATTTGATTTATTGAGCCCACCAGACTATCAAGCTCATTAAGCCCAATGCATTCCCAGGGGAAGTCTGTGCCCCACAGTGTCTCCTTTCTCTGTAAACTATGAAATGGAGATTGAAGGAAGCTTATACTGAGATTACAATTTTACAAATAGCAAGACGAGAAAAACATGCATCTCAAAAGAGCCCAACCACTGTCTTAACTATCTAACACGCCAAAATTTCAGAGAAAATAAAGTTTCCTGAAAAAATGTTTTACAGCAAGATGGATTTGTTTGATACACTTTACAAAAATAACAGGATGTATCCTTAAAACAGTTTAAGGTACACAAAAATTTTAAAGAAAATCTGACCCTTTTGGGTAAAGGGATATGGTCTGGTTCTGAGTTTTCCATTCACATTTTCTTTCAAAGCTTTCACATATTCACATGTTCCCAGATAACGGATACCTTCTTCCTAGTGTTCTACCAGATTTAGTTTTTTATTTTTGGTGTGTGTGTGTGCGCGGGGGGGGGGGGGGGGCTTACTTATTCTGTTTTAATTTTTTTTTTTTTTTTTTGACCCTTTTTTTTTTTTTGTTTTTTTTTGCCCCAGCTGGCCTGGAACTCACTTTGTAGACCAGGCTGTCCTTGAACTCACAGAGATCCTCCTCTCTGCCTCCGGAGTGCTGGGGGGCAGCTACCTAATCTGTCTTAAATTTTATCTTTTATTTTTGGACCGTTTGTTTTATCTGTTCTTTGTTTTAGGTCTTACTAACTTCAAATAATGAAGTAACAATAATTAGCAAGGTAATTATTTTTAAAATGTGCTAAATAAAAATACGCAACCTTTTCTATGTAAAACTTTTGTAAGGAAGGGTATGCAAAATAATTCTGAACTCTCAACCTGCTTTGGCATTGAAAAATAAAGCAATATGGTGACTTATCTGGGACAAAAATGAGTGTTTTAATTTATAGCTGGGATTATTTGCAGTTAGTACTTCATAAACATATGCATTATTATAACTGAATTCAAATGGCCATTTTCCACAAATGTTCATTAATGATTCAAAGTCATTAACAGTGATTTAACTGCCCAACTGAAATGGGAAACCTTTCTTGAAGTATTCAACCTGTCAGTCTAAAGCACACACCCATTTATCAGGTTGCAGCAACACATCACAGCATCTGCCTTTGGAAGCCTTAATTAAATGCCACTCTAGCTCAATTCAAACCAGCTTTCAGGTCCAGTTTTCCAGGAAACTTTCAAATTATCAAAATAATGGCATGACTCTTTCAGAAAGCAAGGTATTTCTGGTTGGCTTTTAGAAATAAAGTATTGTGGTATTAAGATGAGGTTTCAAAGTTTAGCAAGAAAAAAATAGAACCCTAAGTTCAAAATGAAAGTTTTTGTTTAAGATACCTCTAAAATCAGAAGCTAAATAGTATTAATTTCTACAAGCACAATCTCTCCCACCTAAAAGATCTTCTATCAGGATTTTTTTAACACCTCATTATTATGCTTCAGTCTCAGCATCCTCATTTGCAAATGGATTATAATCTCCAGTTATTCAATTCTAAACTTCTGTGATTTTAAATACCCAAATAAGTTAAAAGTCAGTTGTTTTCATATTTGTTCTATGAGACTGAAAAAAATAAAAAGCAGCTACTCTTAGTGGTGGAAGGTGTTACCCATGCGGAGGCACCTCAAAAGAGGATGAAGAGCAGTCAATGCCGGTCTCCACTGTTATCTGTAATATAGTTTCACTGAATGTGTCCTGTGGTTATAGATGTAATTGTCCTGAAAAGACTGCAAACAACTGCTCCAACAAGATGGAGCACATTAGAAGCTCAGCAGGACACCCAACAGCTAGCTTGTCTGCCTGGTTTTACACCTCTAGTAATAATGCAATTCCACCAGGAACTGAACCATTGGCTGAGAAGCCACCCAACAGCCACTGCATATTTAATGAAGTAACTTACCAAGCACTGGAAAACAGAAGGTGCTTGGAGTGCATCATTAGTTCTGTCAGAAGGATAATTTACACATCTATCTTGCCAAATTTTCTATGGTTTATACTTTAACAATAATCAATCTAACATACGTTTGATTAGTGAACTAGCAAGTAGAGGGGAGAAGGCATAGCTGTGGCCCCTCAGAAACATGCCTGATAAAAGAATTTAACCCCTTGGTGTCATTGGTCTGTGATCTGCTTCTGTTACTGGTAACAGAAACTAAAAGGGTGAGAAATTGTGACTTATGGAAGTAAAGGAACTAGAAATCTTTGGTTTTCCTTAACAAAGCAACTACATTGTGGAATAAGTGTGCAAAGAGAAAGCATAATTAAGTAAAAACATCTGTGAGCCTAATAATCAGACAATTACCGGAAATGCTCTTGAGATTCTGGAGAACTTTGTGGAGCTGGCTGAGATGCATCAATAAATTAAAACACCTAACCCTAGAGCAGGAAGGGGCTTCAAGGTACTGAACTTTTATTGCAGAGCTTGACAAAAATGGCCTTCATAAAATTCTTGACTTGAACTGCTAGAAATTCATAAAGTTGCTGACTATACTCATCTGTACATGTTATACACTTATGTAAGCTTAAACATTTGCATAGCTCGTTTTCTGAAATTAATGAAATAGTTCCTTTTATGTAGCAGATTATACTGGAAGGAAAGAAAGACTAAATGACTAAAAACAGCAAAGTACAGGTTATGACTACTTCAATATATCTATTATGTGACAGTCACAGAGACATATGACACAATAAAGCTTACTCTGTCTAGATCAGGACTATCTGATGTAGGGGTATTAATTCTATTCTAGAAATGTAATGATTTGGGAGATCTTTTTCTGTTTAAATTAAAAATGGATTTCACTACTTAATTTGATTTAAATAGAAAAAAAGAATGTATACAATTAAATAGGATTTTTAACGTACTGTTCTAGTATAGAGAAACTGGAAGCTTTCAGGGAATTTGAAATCACCTACTCACTCACTCAGCATAACCCTTTGGATAGATCCAAGGAACACTGTATTTTGCAGTGTGATACATAGCATAAAAATTAAACAGGGACCTGGAAGATGATTTAGCGACTTGCTATGTACTCGCTCCCTCCCTCCATTCCTGTTTTTCTTCCTTCCATGATCATACTGTGTATGTAAATATATGTGCACACAGAGGCCAAAAGAAGGGGGTTGGTGTCTTCCTTTATTTTTCTTTTTCCTTCTCCTCCTCTTCCTCTTTTTTTTTTTTCTTTCTTTTTTCTTTTTGCCTATTCCTTTGATGCAGGGCATCTCCCTGAACCTAGGGTTGTCATTTTCTTGGTTAGAGGAGTGTGCCAGATGCCCAGTGTCTTACATGGATGCTGAGATCTGAACTCTGGTTCTCATGATTATGTATCAAGCATTCTTAACCACTGAGTCACCTCTCCAGCCTCCATGATCAGTGAATTCTAATTTTATTTAATTAATCTGATCAAATTACTGGCAGATTACGTAAAGAACTAATGGTGAAGGAAATCCCACACTCTTGTCAGAAGTTCTGGTATGCTGGGATTTGTTAAGTACTAATGAGAACAGAGAAAAACAATGAACAATTCTGACCCTAAGTTACTCAGGAGTTTTGATGTTTTTTGAGGGGTTCAACCTGGAAAGAGGCCTGATTTGTGCATCTGCCTGTGTTATAAACTATGTTATGCCTACTTGGTTTTCGAGAAATTGAACACTGAATGCCAGCCAACAGACTGAGGTATGGTAACACCTAGTCTTTAAAAGAACCTAAGACAGGACTATGACTCTTTGTAACTTCATAAAAGAGAAACCGAATGTTCAAAGGATACCAACGCTACATATGCCAGATGGCAATCTTCCTTATTTTCTATTAATGAAACTTCTGACATCATAAAAACAAGTGGAGGGGACTAGAGAGATGGCTCAGTGGTTAAAAGCACTGGCTGCTCTTGCAGAGGACTCGGGTTCAATTCCTAGCATCCACCTGGCGACTAAAAAATGTGCATTACTCTAGTTCCTGAGGATCTGACGCCCTCTTCTGACCTCCACTGGCACTGCATGACACAGGTGCAGCTACCTACACGTAGGCAATACACTCATACACATAAAATTTTAAAATATATATATTAAAAAAAATAAAGACAGGTTGATGAATACCATAGACTTCACAAAAGTAATTAAAATTCAGTATTATACCTCTCCCCCCCCCACTGCTGATATTTAAAATGTCAGTTTCTTTCTATCATTTTGGTGCGTTTTGTTTTTTGAGACTTACTACATAGTCCAGGCTGGACTTGACCTTGTGATCCTCCTGCCTCAGCAGCTTGAGTGCTGGAATTATAAGCACATACTATTATGCCTACCTGCAATGTTGGTTTTCTTAATGCCAAGATTTTATCTGCTTAGTTTATCTAATAGCTCTAAATGCTTAAATAGGTCTCTCAAGATTATGAAACTGAAAAATGTTTCGATTCTTAAGGTGACAGGAGATCATAAGAATTGGATTCAACTGTCTTCAGAATCACAATCAATCAGCTTGATATATTTGAATTTTAAATTAGAATAAAAATGATTATACAAGAGACCAAAGCAAGTTAAACAGATTAAGTAAAATGAGATAGGTAAGAGTAGAAAAGGATAGAAAACATAGTGTCTTCCTTGAAAACTAAGGATCACATTTTATTATTCTTTGTAATCCTGTCATATAGCAGAGTATTGCACAGAATGACAGTCAATAAATAGTTGAAACAAAGTAAAAATTAAGGTACAGTTATTCCTTAGTGTTTTACCACCCCTGACGTCTAATTTATTTCCACAAAGGTACACTTCTACTGTTTCTATTGTTTCATCAGTAAGTGGCACAGCTTTGTGAGGCACAAG